GTTGGTTAGTTGGTTGGTTAGTTGGTTGGTTAGCTGGTTGGTCGGTTGGTTGGCTGGTTGAAAGATTACTCAAATAACTTTTTAAAATAAATTTAATTTGATTGATTGATTGATCGATCGATTGGTCATATTTGATTGACTGATTGACTTTCAAAGAAATTGATTGATTAGCACTGAACCGTTTAAAAACATGACAAATGTTTGGCAATGAGTTGATAATATAATAATTAAATGATTGATTGATTGATCGTTAGGTTGATTGAATGATTGATTGTTAGGCTGATTGATTGATTGAAAGAATGATAAATCGCAGTTAAAGGAATAAAAAATACAAAAAATGCTGTCAGATAGACAGATGGCGAATTCTGAATTTTTCTTTCACAGGTAGGATGCATTTTCTAAATGAATAATAATTTTTTCCAGAATAATACACACACACACACACACACACATATATATATATATATATATATATATATATATATATATATATATACACACGCACGCACACGTCGCGAATCCACATTGTCACCGGTAACATCATCATCATCATCACGATAAGATCATTATCATCATCGTCAACATTATCAAGACTATCGCCACCAATATCATCATCATCGTCGTCGTCGTCGTCATCATCATCATCAAAACTCCCACCCATTATTATTTCAGCAACATTTGTTTAAGGACGTACGATATAGTTTAATTTCTTTGTTTTGACGTTTCTATGTAAACAGGAAGCTATGTAAACATCATGTCATGACGTCATCCATTGTAATGGAGTTCGAAAGTTATGTAGATAAAATAAAATGCAAAATACCTCTACAATACCATCACATACATACATACAAACGTACGTACATACATACATATACGTACATACATATGCACGTACATACATACATATCAATACATACACACACATACACTCACATACATACATTAAGATTGGCGTTTATTAAAAAAAGCCATATATGATCAGGTACAATCAGGAGCAAATCTTGCTTGATGAAAAGTAGCAAGTGGAGAAATGGAAGCAGGTGGAGAAATTGAAGCAGTGGCCCACGTATTGGCTTCTTGCAGGTACGCACTCAGTCATGGAGGTTATACGTGGAGGCACAAGAAAGTATTGAAAGCACTAGTGAAACTCATTTCCAATGTTTGTGACGAGGCAACTTCAAGGCCACCGTGTAAACTAAAACAAATCCGTTTCCTAAAAGACGGTGAGTTGGATCAAGCCACTAGAAATGAGGTTTACAGCCAAAGAAGTATTTTTGATAACGGCAAAAATTGGATGATCATGGCAGATTTGGAGGGCCTGAGGGACAACCCATCGTTCATAAAGGATACAGGAGCGAGACCCGACGTTGTGGTACAGTCGGTAGCAGCAGTCACTGTTATTTTAGTCAAACTGACTGTACCGTATGAGGCTAATATAGCTGCAAGTCAGGCTTTAAAAACAGCCAAGTATGAAGAGCTTGTTAGTGAGATAGAACAACATGGGTTGAGGTGTTTGTTGTACGCAGTTGAAGTCGGTGCAAGAGGTGTTTCTGGTTGTTCACTGTACAGCTTTTTGAAGGTTTTGGGTTTGGCAGGTAAAAGACGATCGAGTTGTATGAAGAACATAGGAGAACATAGAGTCGAGCAAGCGTCTTTCTTACTGGGTATGGTTATGTAGGAAGAAAAAGGAATGTTACTTTAAATAGTTAACAGACGAGCTCGTGTGAACTTAAGGCTTCCCATTACTCAACACTCCCAGACTCGGCTTAGCGACTTACTTGGCTCGTCGGTATAACTCAAATTGTGGTGTGTTATAATGGGAACTGTCTGGCACGCCTATACAATTTTTCAGTATGAAAGGAGGTGATTTCAGAGCGAGGCAAATTGTTTGTTCAGTAACAAACATCCAACCATCTCTGGATGTACACACACACACACACACACACAACACACACACACACAACACACTCAAACACATCACACACACACGCATACATACATACATTTGTACATACATACATGCACACACACATAAATACACTGATGTTATATTTAAAGATACACTGATAATATATTTAAAGATACAGTGATGATATATTTAAAGATACAATGATGTATTTGAAGATTCTGCAGCGATGAAATATTTGATATCTCGTACGTACCTTAACAGCTGTTGAGAAAGATATTTTCGCTATAACCAATCAATCTTCGTGAATTTAAATTTGAAAAAAATGTTGTAAATTAATAACAGTCTTATCTGGTTTTTATAACTATTTGTTCTGTGCTTATTAATTTATCTGTATATTTTTATTTATTTATTTATTTTTTACATGTGTGTCTGTACAAAGTTAAGTTTAGATACATTTTACATTTTAGATACATTTTAGATTACGTGTCATCATCGTTATCATCGTCGTCATCTTCATCATTCTCATCTTTTTCATTTTCATCCTCACCACCACCATCATCATCATCATCGTCGTCGTCATCATCATCACCCGGTCAGACCAGACAACATTGTATTAATCATCATCACTGATGATCTCCTTCTTATAAATAAACGAAATGTTTTGATTGGTCCGAAGTGATATTTTTAAATTTGAAAAAAAATGACTACAACAACAAATTCAACATCAACAACAACATCAACAACAACAATAACAACCACAACAACAACATCAACAACATGTATGTATGTATGTATGTATGTTAAAACCAAAACATGATGAGTGACACTGAACCGTCAAACATCAAGTAACAAATGGATTAACACTTTGATTTGTCGTTAATTGCACATGTCGGCATTCAGTTGTATGTATGTATGTATGTATGTATGTATGTATGTATGTATGTATGTATGTATGTATGTATGTATGTATGTATGTATGTATGTATGTATGTATGTATGTATGTATGTATGTATGTATGTATGTATGTATGTATGTATGTATGTTTGTATGTATGTATGTATGTATGTATGTATGTATGTATGTATGTATGTATGTATGTATGTTTGTATGTATGTATCAGGATTGGGATTGTTGGTTGTTAATAATAAAACCTGCCAAGATAGCCAATGTTGATCGGCTGATTGATGTTTGATGAAAAATTGTGGTCTGTATGAGTGTTTGTTTGTTTGTATGTTTGTTTGTATGTTTGTATGTATGTTTATTTGGATGTTTGTCTGTTTGTATGTATGTCTCTTTCTTAGTTTATCAGTTTCTAATTAGTTGCTTGTCTGTATGTTTGCATGTTCACATGTTTGTCCATATCTGCGTTAGCACGTCAGATTTGAATTTACTTTTATGCGTATACATAGGTGTTTGTATGTCTGTGTGTGTGTGTGTGTGTGTGTGTGTGTCTGTGTGTGTGTGGATATATGTGCATGAGTGTTGCGTGTGTGTATGAGTGTGTGTGAATGTGTGTGTGTGGGTGTTTAAACATAAATCCCACAAGTTTTATTTTTTTTGTTTTTCTGCATCCAAACAATCAATTTCAAGCCTCTTAAAATGTTTCCGTTCGGCTCGACAACCTTTCATCATCGTCTTTATCTTCTTCATCGTCGTCGTCCTCATCATCATCACCACCACCTTCTTCACCACCATCATCGTCATCACCATCACAACTACCACCATTATCTTCATCGTCGTCATCTTCATTTTCTTCCTACTCCCACATTCATCAAATCTTCTTTAAAATCACTTTAGAGAAGTTAAAACGTGAAGATGAAAAAAAAATAAGGCTACTGGAAATACCTTTAAATGAATTAGCTATTTTTTTGTTTGTGTGCGTGCGTGTGTGTGTGTGTGTGTGTGTGTGTGTGTTTGTAACACTAATTCATGCTATGACTTACTGTACATGCATTATTCTTTGTACAAGGTGGATGTGATGATGAATTGTGGTGTTAAATAAGTTAGAATCTGACGTTTATTTAATGAACTTTGGTCTGATATTTTTATGATAAAAATATATTATATAAATAAAATATACAACCCATACCTACAAACACAAACATGCATGCATACAAACACAGACATGCATACATACAAACACATAAACACTATCATACACAGGCATACAAACACTATCATAAACATAGCAATAGATAGATACATACATGTATACAAATATGAAAAACATAAACACACATCTATAAAAACTAATGAACACAAATATACAAACATACAAAACAAACATACAAAAACACACATAAGCCCAAAAGACCCGTCTTAACACACACATACAAACAAACATGTATACACACCAATAGAAACATATGAATGCAAGCAACACAACAAACACATAAACATGCATACAAACACAAAAACATACAAACCAACATGCTTTTAGTACACATGTATTCAGCCATGCATCCATTACGTTTTACTCTATGTATCATTTTACTTGGTTATCTGCTGATTCATTTTGCGGTCAATCAACACGGTAAGGTCCACATTAACACACACACACACACACACACACACACACACACACACACACACACACACACGTCCAAACAATGTATCTCATTTTACCTCTGATAAGCAGGGCGTTTTAAACATAAAACCATTTTCACAATTTATTTGAACTTTTGAGTCATAACAAGAGCGTTCATATTGGCAGGCAGGCAACTTGTAGACTCACGTACAAACACCAGTCGAAAGAGGCATACAGATATTTCTAAATTACGAACACAAACAAACAAACACACACACAGAAACAATCACACAAACACACATACACTCACAAACACCCCAAAATATTTTCCACTCCATGGCAGAACTCTGGCGGACGTGAAACTCGTGCGGCCATCATCGCCATCGTCGCCATCATTCTCGTCACCATCTTCATCCTCATCCTCCTCATCAGCATCACATCCATCAAAACACCAGAACCCCAACAACACCTCCTCTTCCCCACAAGCACAGCCCCACTTCACCTACCTCCTGCAAAACCCCAATGAGCTGCACCTACCCCCCAAACAAATCCTGAAAACTTCAGAGGACTGTCAATTCCTTGTGGGATTCACAAAGGAGCAGCAGCAGATTTGTGGGCGGAGTCTGGAGTTAATGAATTACGTGCTTGAGGGTGTGGTGGAAAGTATCCAGGCCTGCAGGGCGGAGTTTGAGGGGGAGAGGTGGAATTGCTCGGGTGGATTGGAAAGTGTGAACAGTGGCGGACGTGTTGTAGAGGCTGGTGATGTTGTGGGGGCGAATGCGGAAGTTGAGTCGCCATTCTCGGCGCTTGTCAAAAAAGGTTTGATTTATTTTTGATTGATTGATTGATTTTTAGATTGATTGATTGATTATTCAACGTTGATTAATTTTGTCAATTTGTAATTTTATCAATTTACATTGCTAACAACATTCTGATCAACATTTGAGTTGTACCAAAGGAATACGAAGCATTTCAACCAATCTCTATATATATCTAACCTTACCTTTTACCATATATACCCATTTGAATCATCTTAAATTAGGAATAAATCCTACTTTTGGAAAGATTTGTTCTCCATCCCAATGCAGGCACCCGCGAAACTGCCTTCCTCTACGCCATCTTGTCCGCCGGAGTCACTCACAAAGTCACGAAGGCCTGTAGCAGCGGTCGGCTCAAAAACTGTGGCTGCGATCGAACGCTAACCGGACAGGAAGGTGGGGCCATGAATATATGAATAAATTAAATTATTAATACATGAATTAATTAGCAGAACTTAATGGGGTGAAATTAACATTATTAAAATGTAGCTAATGTTGTTTCACAAATAAATTATTTACTCTTTGTGCTAAATAACATTTTTTATCATGATGAAACTTTAATTTGACACTAAGCTACTGATGGCTCAATGGTTAAAGGCGCCTGGTCTTGTTGCTGATGTGACTGGGTTTGAATATACAGAGATCCCCGCCTATCATATGCAATGTGTATGATGCGTGGTTTGCACGCGCATTCATATACGCTGTGTGTGTTTGTCGTTGAGACCTCTGAAGCAAGCGTAAAAGAGAGAGAGAGAGAGATTAATCTTTTAACCTTTAACTAAATTATTAATTTTATTTTCTATTTAAAGGTTCCCTCATAAATATTCATCAACATTTTTTAAACAACCGCAGAGTGGTCAGGGTGCTCGGACAACGTAGCGTACGGGAAGGCATTCGCCAGAAGTTTGATTGACGTGAGGGAGGAGCTAGTGGGGATGAGTCACCCGAGCAGGGCTCTGCTTAATTTGCATAATAATAATGCCGGACGCAAGGTTTGGTTTTGAAGGGTGATGTGTTTGTGGATGGGTTTGTTGAAAGTGTTGTAAAGAAGGAAAGAAAGAAGAACGAATGGAGAGAGAGAGAGAGAGAGAGAGGAAGAGAGAGGGAAATTATAATGATAAGTTATTATTATTATTATTATTGTTATTATTATGATTATTATTATTATTATTATTATTATTATTATTATTATTATTGTTATTATTAGACAGTTGAGTTGAGTATGCGGACGCACTGCAGATGTCACGGGGTTTCAGGGGCCTGCGAGATGAAGACCTGCTGGAAGACCCTGCCCCCTTTCGATGACGTCAGCAAAAGATTAAAAATAAACTACGATAATTCGAAGATGGTCAAACTGAAGAAAGCCGGAAGTCAAATGGATTTCGCCGTCGTGAGTGGCGGGAAGAGAGGGAAGAAAAATGGCGCTGACGATGGAAAGAATAAAAAAAGAAAAAATAACAAAAATAATAACAACAATAGAATCATAAACTTCAACAACAACAACGAAGAGAGCAATAATAATTTCAACAACGACAATCAAATAAACATGAGCAGCACAAAGGCCATTGTTGACGAATCAAGAACAAATGATAGGGCCACCTCAACAAAGGATTACCATCGTCCAAGTGTTGTTGTTGATGGCGTTGAGAATGTAACTTCAACTGGCCTAAACATACTAAACAACGACGCCGACGACACAAACACCAACAGCGTGAATACTGTAGCTACTACACTAGCCACAAATTTAATTTCATCCACAATTGTCGTTTCTGATATCGCCTCTTTACATAACAGCAGCAGCAGCAACAACAACATCAACAACAACAACATCAAAAACAACAACAACAACAACAATAACGATAATAAAAACAACGACAACGATGTCATGGGCTCTTCACCAAGCTCTACTCAAAATAATTTGAGAATCAAAGCAAAATCGAAACCACAAAAGTTACAACAGCAACACAACATGCAGCATAAAAACCAACAGTCCCTACTCAAAAGAAAGCGCAGAAAACAGCAGAATGTATGGCAACAACAACCACAACAACAACAACATCAGCCAAAACGTCAGCCGCAACGTCAGCCACCACAACGACGACAACATCAAAAGCGACAGCCACAGCGAAATAAAAGAAACTACGATTGGACTTACTACAGCAAACGCAACAGCCAACCACTCAACAGCAACAAACACAACAGCAACATCAAAAACATCAACAGATTTTATGGAAACAATCACAATGATAGAGATATGCATGAAAACCGTGATTACAGCAGCTACAACTTTGACGATGATGGCGAAAATGATGCTGGTGTGAACGACTTCGAGAATGATGAAATGGTTGACAGGATGCTCTATCACAAGCAGAAAAACCACCGCATCAAGAATTTCGACAGTCAATCTTACTACTACGACAACAACTACAGCAGCAACAACTACAACAACTTCAACCGGAACAAGAAGTACCAGTCCAACTCCAACGGCTACCAGATCGTCAACCAGCCACCAGTCGTCCGCAACAAACAACGTCAACCGCAACAATTTAAAAAAGTCATTCAACAAGAAAGGTACATCGACAACACGCGCCTGCAACAATTCAACCAGCATCCCAACAACATCCACAACTACCGCAACGATCAATACTTTAATAATTTGACGCCGAAACAGAGCCGACATCAAAGTCACCACAACAACCACCAACAGCCACAGCAGCAGCAGCCACACAGCTTCAACGAGACAGACCTCCTCTTTACCCACGCAAGCCCCAGCTACTGTGACCTTGACCTCTCGCGGGGTTCGCTGGGCACGAGTGGCAGACTCTGTTCGAACGACAAGACAGCGACGACAGACAGCTGCAAGGTTTTGTGCTGCGGCCGAGGTTACGTTGTTGTCGGTGAGGTCACTCTCGTTGAGAAGTGCCACTGCAAGTTTCACTGGTGCTGCAGGGTGGAGTGCCAGGAGTGCAAAAGAAGGGTTGAACTTTACAGGTGTAAGTAGGTCAGGTCAGGATGTGAGTCAGTATTCTAATTGGTCAGTATCTGGGTCACTATATGGGTCAGTATGTCGGTCAATAAGTGGGTCAGGTGAGTAACCTACGATGGATGCGATGAAATATTTTGCGGTACATTCAACTCTTTAACTCCTGCTCTTGTTTTGTTTCAATGTGTGAATGTGTGTGCGTGTGTTTGTTTGTGTATATTTAAATTTTGTATGTGTGTCTTTACACTTTCAATTAATGCATTTATGTAATATTTTATTATTTTCCTAGACTGTTGAATTTCTAACTAGATCTGACAAATAATATTTCTCATAAATTGCACATAGATGGCAGTAGATGTGTTCAACTTTGAATTATTTTTGTTATTAGTAACTTAAGAAACATTGTTAATTTTCCGATTTGGTTGTTTAGAAATCGTACTGGTATGTGTTTAGGCTCTAGTAAATGTTGGTTTTCATCTACTTTGGTTAAATTACTATGCATTTTATCTTTCACGATAGAAACTGTTTTGAAAATATTTTAACGTACAACACGCAGTATATGCAATCACGATTTTTCACAAAAAACTTCAATGAAGATGATCTCAAATTGCATGATGAAGACTTTTTTTAACATTTGTCTATTTATTTTTTAGTCAATTTTTGAAAAAAATTTTGGAATTTAATAAAAAGCGTTGAAGAATCTTCCATTTTTCCTGTGTAAGTTAGTGACTGGGTTATAAAACCCTGGTGGTGAGAAAATTAATTTAAAAAAATTAATAACAATATCAACAGAACCAACAAAAAGAAGAATAATAATAATTATGACGACGATGATGACGATGATGGTGACTATAATGAATAAAAGTCAGTAAGAGCACACGATGAGAATTTGTAAATTTAATTTTAATTTAATTATACTTCAAATTTTAATTTACTTCTAATTTTATTTTACTATAATGTAGTTCAAACTAAATTTTTTAATAAAAACACGTAAAATTAAACAGTTTTTTCCATTTTCATTCATAAATAAAAATACATCCATAGATGGCAGACAGGTTTCTGGTTTCTCCTGCTACTTCTCTATAGTCAATCACCATTGCACCGTCGTTACCATGAGCCGAATAAGAGTGCAGTGACGGATCTAGGAGAATAATTCCGGATCGCATTCCCACGCCAAACTAGGATCAAAAAAAAATTCAGGATTCCGTGATAGAATAAGCGGAAATCAGCCCAAAAATGGTAATTAATTTGAGAATTTTGAATACCATCCAACACCGAAACGGAAATAAATGGGAATAAACGGAAATTGTGTCGGGAATTTGCAGGAATAAAAATTCATCAGCTTCAGAACTGTAAAATCCTTTCCCTCACACCCATCGCCAAATTCTGGATCTACCACTGGACGCATAGCCAGGTCAAATTTGAGTAATGTATCTCTGAGTAAGTATTATTTTTTCTGGCTATTCAGTTCTTCAAAGTCATCGTCATCATCTTCACCATTGAATGAAAAGGTGAATAAATTTTGGGTGAAATTGTAGAAATTATAAACATTTTATAAGCACCATTAGAGCATGAGTTAGGTTAATGTGAACAATTGAAGCTTTATTAAAATTTGTCTCCTTAAAAGAACCATCATCCAGCACAAACATACAAACACAAACATGCAAACACAAATATACAATCAACCAAACATGCATACACAAGTATACAAACACAAACATACAAACAGTATACATTCAGACACAAACATAAGTACGCAAGCATACAAATACAAACACGAAGTCAGACGAGCATAGGTCTACTAATCAAATGTTCTTATCATGTGTAACAAACAACAACACAACCCTCCTGGCAATTTGTTTACATTCACTCGCTACCACCGTAACCTGTTTGTTTTCCATCGTTCGTTCGTTCGTCCGTTCATTCGTTCGTTCGCTTGTTCATTCATTTTTCATTAATTTTTCATACATACATTTTTTTGTTTATTCATTTAGTCGTTCATTTGTTCGTTTATTCATTTGTTTGTTCTTTTGTTCGTTTTTTCATTACTTCCTTTGTTCGTTCATGTGTTCGTTCATGTGTTCGTTCATCATATGTTTGTTTATGTTTTGTTCTTAATTAATTTGTTCACTTGTTCCTTCGTTCCATCATCTGTTCAACTTGTTCGTTCTATTAACTTATCAACAAAATGAATCCGTAACATTGTGTACGATGTTGAACTGTCCAACGAATTCAAAGTTTGGATGAATTAAAAATTTATGTGAATTGAATGAATGAATGTGAATGAATTTATGCATTCATCCATAAATGAATGCATAAATTCAGTTTGATTCATAAAGTTTGATTCATTTGAAAATGTTTATCGCAAGCAGATTTGGAAGGAATTTCTTAAGAACACATAAATGCATTGAATCCATGATTAACAACACAATCATAACATTTAACTAATGATAATTTACAATTCGAATCATCGTGAGCAGATTTTAATGGACAAAATATGAATCCGTTTTCCTGAACTGAAGTTGGGAATGAAGCATTATCTCGCCACTGACCACAGGTTTACAACGTTACTGACCAGACCATCAAGTCGCCACTGACCACAACATTACGACTTCACTGACCACAACATTACGACGTCACTGACCACAACATTACGACTTCACTGACCACAACATTACGACTTCACTGACCACAACATCAAGTCGTGCCACTGACCACAACATCAAGTCGTCCACTGACCACAACATTACATCTGTATGTTTTTATTCAACAAACTTGTAATCGGCTGCAGTAGGGTAAACTTCACCAAATGTTACGATGTTGTTGCCTAGTTTGTTGCGATACAACACTGTACATTGTAAAATCGCTTCATTTGTTTAGTATTTTGAATGAAAAAAACCTATTAGATATATATCAGAACGCATACGATAACGAACATATTGTGCATAATTATAAACTTATAATAATGTTTGTTATAAACTTTAATATTAATTATAATAATAAATTATTATGAGCAATAATGATAAAATTATTATTATTGTAAATTTTCATTTACGTAAAATGTACATGCATTCAATGAAATGATGTGGTTTTAATTCTACATGCACCCAAAATCAAAATTTTAAGACGAATTCGACAATTGCAAGGTCGTCAAGAAGAAAAAAATAAATTTTCCAAAACTATTTGAATGAGGTTAAAAAATATTCTGATGGTGCAAACGAGTTTGCATACGTACATTCATTACACATCACATGTAAAAACACCTACGCGTGTGTGTGTATACAAGTAAACAATGTGTGTAGACATAAACACATGTGTGTCTATTCATCATTCGCAGTTTCCATATACACGTGTGTGTTACTGAGAGAAAAAAATGTAGAGGAGGAGTCAAAACCAAATGAGCGATTCTCATTAGACGACGAGCTAATGTAAACAAAGAGCCAACCAATCAGATTAGAGCTCGACAGCCAATGAACTCTCGACGTTTAGTACTTAATTGACGTCATCATTTGTATATTGGTGAGTTTTTCTTTGAGGAAAAAGATACACAAGCTATGTTGATATTGTATCACGTGTAAGGTATCATATTCCATGTTGTTTGCATGTAGTTTTATACATACACTTACATATAAACACTTTATTTTCATATGTTTATAAGTCGTTACATAAACATACAAACAAAACGTATGTATGTATGTGTATATATTGTATGCAAAATATTATATATACTATATATGTTGTATGTGTATATGTTATGTATGTGTATATATATATAGGCCTTTGAAGCCATCATTCTATTTCAATGCATCAATCATCTTCAAAGCTTCTTACCTTATAAATATAATTTATTATTAAAAATGTTTAAAATTTTTTTTTTTAATTTAGTAGAATGGTGGTAAAACACAGTTGGTCATGGCATGAACAGTTATTTGCGTATAAATTTATCTGAAGATTCGTTGAAACATAATACAAACACATGGAGATAGTATATTACAAATTAAAAATGTAAAACGCAGACATAAACATGTATACAAATAATATAAATACAAAACAAATTAAATATACAAAAAACAAACATACAAACAAATAATTGATATACAAACATTAAATGCAAATACAAATACAAACCTATGACTCAAAATACAAACTTATACTGAATACAAAACACAAAAATACTATCATAGACATACAAATACACAACTTAGCATATATAAAAACAAACAAACACACAAACGAACAACCATTAGATACAATTACGTACCATTAGATACAATTGCAAACATAAAAGATACAAGTACAAACGTTTTAATACCTCTAGTACATCTTCCATGTCGTGTGTGAATAACATTTTTTCGGATTATCAAGAACTTCGAACAAATTTTTGTGTCATGTTGTTCATCGAAATTATTTTCTTGCGAGATATTTTCAAGTTGTTTTCATAATTTGTGAAAATAAATAATAAAATTAGAAATTTAATAATAAAATTAGAAATTTAATTAAATTAACTTGTTAAAAATTTATTTATATAGAATATACGTACAAATTCTACAAAAATTAACCTGTTGGCCTTTCATAACATCATCATCAATAACCAGCAAAACTCAATCTGGCAAATTTGATTAAATCGATCTGACATATTATTCTACACACAAATCCGACCATCGCTAAATGAGTCATTATGAAAGGAAGTTGATACAGTATTGAAAATTTGAAAATCTTACGGACTAAGTGATACAACTTAATCAGAACGTATATCGCCCATCTATTTGGATCTATCCACTCACAAATTAGATATGTTGGATTCAGATAATCACCAAAAAGGTTCGGTAGTTGTTATAAATTTTTGTTAAAAATTGAAATTTAATTAAATTAAATTAAGTTAGAAAAGTTGATTTAATTGAAAAAGTTTATTCGATTTGATAGATTTAAAAAAAAAGTTTAAATTCACCAGAATTAAATTTTCAAATTTTCAAATTTCTGTGATAACCAATTATACAAAAGTCAAACGAACGTACCCCTTTTCCACCAACCAATCAAAAATCAAGACCGCAGCTGTAGTGGGTGTGGCCAGACGATCAACGACCAATACATTTTGAGGGTGCACCCGGATCTGGAGTGGCACGGTTCCTGTTTAAAGTGCGCCGAATGCCAGCAACTTCTGCAAGAAATGAACACGTGTTTTGTCAGGGGTGGGAGGATTTTGTGCCGACAGGATTATTACAAGTTGGAATTTTTTTGTTTTTTTTTGGTAGAAGTTTTTGTCAGCTTAAGATGCTACAACAAAGGTTATAACAGTTTTTTTAATTATAATAATATAATATAATAGTAATATATTAATAATAATTATAAGTTACTGTCAATTATATCTGTAAATTGCTTATAGTCATAATAACGTTGGTGATGAATATAACGGAGAACTAACTGTTTTTTTAGAATTCAATCTTGTTTGTAGTGAAGAATAAGAATCATATTGTAACAATAATTATACCAAATAATTAATTAATTATAATTAAATAATTATATCTTTATTCCAATATAAATTAAAAAAAAAGTTTAAAAAATTTAAAACTTTAAATTTTTTTATGAACAATGTTAGCGATCGTATTATATAAAAATAACTGCGATCATTTATCATTCAGTGTAAAATTAAAACCGTTACCTCCAAAAGGTTATACGGGGTCAAATGTCACGGGTGTCACCAGGGTTTCCACAGTAATGACCTTGTGATGAGGTCACTGGACCAGGCTTATCACGTGACCTGTTTCAGGTGCGCCGAGTGCCGGAAGGTGTTGGTTCCGGGTGACGAATACGGAGTGTGTGGGAGGAGCGGGAGGATCCTCTGTAAGGCGGATCACGAGAAATTTGGGGGCGTGAATTGCGGAGCTGAGAAAGGTGGTAATAATAATAATAATAATAATAATAATAATAATAACAATGGTTACTGCATTTCGAGTGGAGGTGATTTTGGAGGTGACTGCAGTTGCGATCGGTTGAATTTTGAAGATGTTTGTGGCTGTCGTAAAGCTGGTTGCAGTTGTGGCTGCCGTTGTGGTAGTCGCGACAACAACGTCACCAATGATGGTGGTGGTGGTTGTGTTTTGGCTAAAAAAACGCCTGTTCGAAAAAATGAACCCGAACGTTTATATAACAATGATGGTGGTACAGAGCACCATTTGGACGATGGTGTTCGTTGTGGTGATGATAATGATGTTAATGGTGAACGCAACGGTGGTGGCGATGATAGCGACGAAGTTTCAAGAGCCTTCAGGTTTGACAAGATTCAAGGAGGAAAAATTGACCACAAGAAAAAATTTGATGTCAACAACAGCAATGCCGATGATGATGACGACGACGACGACATCTCAGACGCCACCACCCAAACCAACTTCAGCAGCAGCGGCGGCAGCAACAACAACAGCCACAACTACAACAACAACAATTTAACAAGAATCGCAACATGCAACCTAAACAAACATCATCACAAAAAGATAAACAGGCGCAATATTCTACTCAGTCAAAGCGTTTGTGGCGAAGAAATTTATGCTGGTGATGGTGGTGATGATGTTAATAATGGTGAAAACAACTATGATGGTGACGGAGATGATGATGACGATGAAGAGGATGATGAAAATGTTAATTCATACATTCCTTACAATGATGATTCGCAAAGTAAGTTTAGTCCGGAGCTGAAAAAATTGGAGGAATTTTTTTGTTAAATTTTTTTGTAAAATTACAATAATTGAAACAAAATCTTTGGAAATAATTAATTAAAAATAGATTTATTCCAGATTATTTTTGAGTTAATTAAAAAATTTAATAAATTTTAAAAATTTCAGCAGCTAGCGAGAACTTGCTAATGACGAATTGCACAACAACTTCATCAACGACATCAACTTTTGGCCGTCACTATTGCATCAACAACAACAACAACAACAACAACATCATCAACAACAACATCAACATCAACAACAACAACAACATTAACAACAACAACATTAACAACAACATCAACAACAACAACATCAACAACAGCAACATACAAGAAATTTCTTTATCACCAAATTTACTCTTATCTCAAAACTCTGCAACAGCACTTCCCATCATTTCCACCACCATCTCCACCACCAAAAACAACAGCAACACATCCCCATTTCAGCCACACCATCATTCCATAAAACTCCCATCGCCAACCACATCGGCCACAACAAACCATCTAAACCACCACCAGCATCACCACACACTTGCTCAACACCATCACCTTCACCACCACCACCACAACGGCAGCAGCAGCAACAGCAGCAGCAACACCAGCCACAAAACCACAAGAATACGAACGGTCCTTAACGAGAAACAACTCCACACTTTGAGGACTTGCTACAATGCTAATCCCCGACCCGATGCCCTGATGAAGGAGCAGTTGGTGGAGATGACAGGGCTCAGCCCCCGAGTCATCCGGGTCTGGTTTCAAAACAAGAGGTGCAAGGATAAGAAGAAAAACGTTATCGTTAAGCAGGTCTGTTTCTGTGTTGTTGTTGATGTTGTTGTTGTTGGTGGTGGTGTCGTTGTTGTTGTTGTTGTTGCTGATGACGTATATGAGGCTGATGAAGATGTTGGTGAGGACGATGGTGATAACGCATGTGACGTTTTTGTCGTTGTTGTTGTTTTGGGTGGGTGGTGGTGTCGTTATTGTTGTTGTTGTTGCTGCTATTGTTGTTGTTGTTGCTGCTATTGTTGTTGTTGTTGACAGTGAATGTTGTGTCATTATTTTTAAAACTGATTTCACATTGGAACACCACTGGGCAGCTCCAACAAGTTCACGCGGACAACGACAACGTAAGTGAACGCTGCTGCTGCTGTTGTTCATGTTTTTGTTATTTTTTTTTTGTATGGGGACGTCATTGTTTATGTTGTTGTTTATGTTTTTGTAGTTTTTTTGGACGGTGACGTCATTTTTAACGTTTGCGTTGTCGCTTGAATTATTTTTATGACATGACGATGACGATGTTTAAATCGCGATGATAATAATGACGATGATGATGATGATGATGATGACGATGGTGATGATGATGATGATGACGATGGTGATGATGATGATGATGACGATGGTGATGATGAAGATGACGATGGTGATGATGAAGATGACGAGGATGATGATGAATATGATGTTGATGACGATGACGATGGTGGTGACGATGACGAAACAAATAAGGGAGGGGTTGATGATGATGATGATGAGGAGGAGGATGAGGATGATGATGGTGATGATGATGATGGTGATAATGAAACTGTAGCAGGAATCTGTTTCCACTCCAACAGAACAGCGTTTATTCAACCGATGAAAACTGGACACAACAACGTTAATGAAAAACATTGTCATCGTCGTCATCATCACTGTCAGCATCGTCATCATCATCATCCCCACCGACAACAACATCATCCATCAGATTTACATTTTACGATCGAGCGGAAGCGGAAGTCGCTGTCCACCAAATGGATTTTTTTCAAAATGGCGTCATGCAAACATCAATGGCGTCATCGTCGTCATCGTCACACGAAAATCACCGTCCCATCACAATCATCACCGTCGAAAATGTGGTATCATTATCAAGAGAACCACATTGTCATCATCATCATCGTCGTCATCATTATCATTATCGTCATCATCGTCAGCCAAAAAATATCTAAAAACAAATGTTTCGTTCTCACGGATTACTACAGATGAAAGGAAAGAGTACGATGACGATGATGAGGATGATGAAGACGAATATTAATAATTTTGTGTGTATATGTGTGTGTATGTGTGTGTATGTGTGTGTGTGTGTGTGTGTGTGTGTGTGTGTGTGTGCGTGTGTACCGTACTTCGTATTTTGCGTGTACCATACATCGTATTTTTTGTGGCGTAACTGTCAAATGCGCTCGGCTCTGACGTTGTTGAAGTGACCGAGTTCAAACGCAATGAAGATCGTCGCTCGTCACATATGATCGGCATGATGTTTGGTCTTACTTAATTTTGATTCATAATAAACAACTGCAATAGTTATAATAAGATTTAATTATAATTGAATTATATAATAATAATAATAATATTAACAGATAATTATTTTTGTTTTATTAATGTATAATATTAAATCTTAATAGTAAATGTTATGAGAATGTTAA